TCTCTCTCTCTATCTATCTCTCTCTCTCAGATCATCTGTCACACAGCCTCACCTCCTCTCTTTCTTCCTCTCTCTCCCCCCCTCTCTCTCTCTCTCTCTCTCTCTCTCTCTCTCTCTCTCCCTCTCTCTCCCTCTCTTTCTCTGTGTCAATGAATCTCCCTTTCTCTCTCTCACGCACATAACCCTGTGAGTAGCAAATTCCAAAGCTTGAGAGGCAAATTAGATAACCCGTCACCAGTCCCGACTTGAGAAAATACGATAAAAGCGGTTTCTCAAAGGTTTACAATGTCAGTCAAGATAGAATTCTGTTACAAGACACAGCGTAAAAATTATCGCTGTACCTTTTTTCAGCTGTTTTCAATGCCAGATCAGCTGATCTAACACTTGTCTTCTTTCAATGGTTAATTTCTTTCTCTGGTAATATGTATTTAGGAAAACATTTGGGTAGATTAAATATTTATCTTTTGAGCTCACGTTCGAAGCCTGTGCCATTTCTGTCTAAGCTTGCGGAATTATTTTTGGATAAATTGACAGATTGATTGGTTCATTCCCGAGACCATATTGGCATGCATCCTCCACTCTTCAACACGCTACCAAGTTTCCAATAATCTCACCGTCAGCTTGGGTTTACTCAAATAAAATGAACAGGTGGTTTTTGCATTGTAGACACGTAGATACTACCCCAACCTCTTTCCATTTTTTTAGATTAGCCAGAAGATAGAGGATATTTTCACTTTTTCTTCTGAAAAGGTGTGTAAATACAGTTTCCATGGTAAGTTGTGTGGGTTTTTTTTTTAATTACCGCCCCTTCCAACGCTGCAGGACCATTTACTAAAGGAAATGTGTTACTTGATGCCATTCCTTTTCGGCACCGATCCAGACTGACTGAAGTCATGACAGCTCTCTAAACAACCCAAGCTCGATGTCACCCTGTTAGAGATTCTAGCAATAGTCATCCCAACGTAGCTCAGCACAATAATATTCCGGCAAAAGCCATCCCAACGTAACTCAACAGAAATATATTCTGGCATCATAGTTATCTCACTACTGCTCAGCACAATACAGGAAGATCTAACGTCGAGCCCTCATGTTTTGCTTATGGCGTCATCGTGTTATTATTTGTCGTGTGTGCTTTCTCAGATGCTTAATGTTGCTCAATCAGTAGAGGCTATTTTAAGTATTTCACTAAATAATTTCTCTATGGTTCTATCATTTCGAAAAAAACAGATCTCTGTCCTCGAGTTCTATGTACCAAGTTCATCTGTCTTGTCTCTTCCATTTCATTTACTTCATCGTCAATTATCTGCATGCGATTTCATTAACAAGGTAACACAAGACGACCTCAGTATTTTCTTGTCCTATCTCCATTTTTAATAACAATGAAAACAGTTCTTAACAAAGAATGATATTAAGAAGAAGTCACATTTCCAAGGTACAAAAAAATGGAGATAGGACAAGAAAGAACTGAGGTAGCGATACAATACAAGAAACCCCAACAAATAAAAAAATTCAGCGTCATTTTTTAAAGTGTGGATTTTTTAAAAATGAAACAAAACATCCCTTTAAATACGAGAAGCTGTCACCTCATTATTTAATAGATTACTCAAAGACGTCAAATGAAGCTTATGACTGTAAGCAAGTGACGAGATCCCAATTTAGACTACAAGCTGGTTTGGACAAAATTGCTGCATTGTGTTACTGAAGGGAGTTTTTTTTGTTGCTTCTTTTTTGTTTCATTCTGTCAGACCAAATTGTGCTTAGCATCAATCAATTTCTTAAACGCATTCTTAAAATCAGACCCCGTCTATTGGCTTTAATAAGATTTAGAGTAATGCGATTGGAGGTTTTACATCACCAGACAGTCGATTATATAGCTTTTAGACTGAAATTAAATACCAACATACTCAGGTATTAATCGTATCTCTCTAAATAAAAACCAACAAACAAACCTCCCATGAGCAGATGAACTTGCAAGCAAAAGATTGTGGTCCCGTTTCATGTGTATCCTCGAAAAGAAAGTATAATAATTGTTCCTTTTGTCTTTTCCACAGTGTCTAAAGCCCACTGGGGAATCTTTGTCGACTCCAGCGTTGATCTGAAGTGAGTGGATAACCTGGAAGAGAGAGACCGTGTCGTGTCTGAGTAAACGAAACATTTAATGGCGAATACAACGAAGGATTGGGGTCATGCCCTCGCCTTTGGAGAGTTGGGTTTGGCGTTCACTCTTGGGGGTTGCCGCCAACCGATTTTCCATGTGATTCTCAGAATACAGAAGAAACGATGATTCTTACAGATCCGTGAGCGGTTGGTAAACTTCCATAATGTTGTACCACTGATGAAACAATTTGTCACGCGTAAAACCTTTAAATCCTGATTAATGGGCCACTAACTAATAATCGGGCATACCCTAGATACTTGTGGGCAGCAGGCTTGCTAGACGACAACAATGGCCTTTGACCTTAACAATATCACGTCCATGCTGGAGATGCTGGACGTTCCT